CAAAGATGTTGTGTCCGCCGAGAACTGAAAAATAAATATTAAAAAAAAAAATTCTCTCTCTCTCTCTCTCTCTCTCTCCTCTCTCACTCTCTCTTTAAAAAAAAAACTGATAATTTGACTTCTTCCTTTAAAAAAAAAAAAAACAGACTAGTCTGACTTTACATGAGAAGCTGTGAAGAGAGCTCCTTTTATTGCTTGCCCCTGATTGGCTGCTTAGAATACTTTTCCTGGCAGAAGATGGGGAACGATACAGAAGGCTCAGATGGCAGACCCCACAAAACCTTAAAACCAGAGTGTCTTAGAATTCCACTTAATGAAGCTTCCATTTGATTATCTAGCTGTTTTAATTAGTATTTCAAGTCCTGTGGATTCAGAAATTACTGGACAAATGGGCCTTTCCTTAGAATATGGTGGCAGAAAACAGTCGCCGTGTTCTCAGCAGCTCAGCTTCTTGCTTGGTGAGCTTGGTTGTCTAGATAGCTATTTCTTCTCCTTCACAGTCTGGCAGTCATCTGATTCATTCGTTTCTCCTGTGCAATTGCTAGGGACATGTTAGCATTTACCTTCAACTTTCCCGACCCAAGTGCCATTTCACTCAGTGAAATGAGGTTGGGAAGTTTGTCACTTGCTTGTGTTTCCCTGCAAAGCCTGACTGTGATCCCAAAAGGAAAGCACTTGCGGTGACTGGGGAGGGGGGGCGGGGCTGGTCACAGTGTGCTTTTGCAAGTTTGCACATTCTTCCCCCCACCTCAGTTACTCATAAACTCATTTTAAGAGAATTTTGGGAAGAGTTAATGTGCATCTTGAGTAACAGAAAAATTGATTTCATTTCACAGAAGTATAAAATTGATAAGCTTAATTTTGATGCTGGGATTTCATCAGTGAGATTTATATAATCACATTGATTTCTGCCTGCCTGCACCACATTAGCATTAATTTGCTCCTTATAAACATGAACTTGTAAGTAGTAAAGGGAACTATTGGGAAAAAAATCACTAAAAAATCTCCACTAAAACAGAAACACTGCTGTATTGCTTATTTTAATAGAGTAATATCAGGAATAACATAATTTTTGTGGGGAAATTACTACAATTTATTTTTTTAAATAATGTAGAACCAAAAAAAACCTTTTTATTCACTTCCTAGGATATGGTTTACTTTGGTAAAGTCTCCATGGATATTTGAAAAAATATGTATATTCTGCTTTTGTTCTATAAATGTTAATTAGACCTTGAAAAAAAAAATGTTGAACAAAGCCAACTATGGAGATAGAAGCCAGCATTTTGGTCACCCTGGGGGTGGAGGTGGGTGCTTCTCGGGTGCTGATGACGCTCTACCTCCTGTCTGTGTGGGTTACATGAATGCATACATTTGTATAAACGCTTATTGAGTTGTTACCCCAGGATTTGTACACTATATTGTTTGCATGTTATGTATATTTTGATAATATAACATGTACATAGTTCTTTTTTATAATTAACATTAGGATATATAAAAAATTAAAAATATTGACACCTTCACAATTATTAACATAGTCTTACTAAAATCAAGAGTGATGACATATTATTACTACATTTTTATACCAGATAACAGAGTGAAGAAAGCAACAAAAAAATAATCACTAAAATTCTGCTGTGGATCAGGATAAAATGTCTCCAACATGAACTCAGACTTTCCTAAGAATTCAACAATGAGTATGGATTGCTTGTTATATTTTGATATAAATTTCAAGTAAATAAGGAGGTCTTGCCAGAATTGGGTATTTCCCTCTACTAATACCTTCTTGCATTCCTAAGATAAGAGCCTTAAATTCTTGGAGTATACTTTTATAGCCTGTCTGAGAGTCTTCAGTCTATCTGAAGATGAACCCTAAATCTTATTATCCATTTAAAAAATTTCAGAATGGAAAATGAGGTCTAATTCTTTTTTTTTTTTTTTTTTAAAGAGAGAGTGAATTTTTAATATTTATTTTTTTTTTAGTTCTCGGCGGACACAACATCTTTGTTGGTATGTGGTGCTGAGGATCGAACCTGGGCCGCACGCATGC